TCTGTAGGCAAGTTAATACGTTGCGATGCATTGGTGGAGCCAAACCATTTGACGTAGCTACACAATTAGTCTGTGCAATCAAAGTGACGGAAGAATGAGTAATTGTCCAGGCTGTCGCATTGTTGTTGATGATGAATACAAACTCGTTTTGATAAATATTAAGTGACTTAATAGATGGATCTGGAGAGTTGGCAGATAGCAGTCGGAAGTTAAGAATTTGCCAGAATTTCGGGGGCTACTGATTGAAGTTCCACATCAGATTAACTAAGAATATACAGTGTGTGTTTTTTCACTGTGACCGTTTGCTTGATGTGGGGATCGTCAATAAATGGACAGAGTAAGGCGAATTCGCATTTAAGCCAAGGATTACTGCTAAGAGTGTGACATGACCTGCTTGGTGAACCTAGGTGAGGGGAGTGTAATGCTTAAGTGGATATACATGGATGATTACTTTATATTCGACAATTTAATTCGAATTGTTGTAACTAGTGCTCCTGCGGCATCATTTGTGTTCTCCCTTCTTCCTCTCAGTCTCCATCCCCCTTATCTTTAACGATAACCATAATCATAATCAACAAACTTAATCTTCTCCATTCAGGATGTCATGTTCGAAGAATAAACACTTTCTGTAAGTCCTCATGCAGTTTACGGATCACGGTCCAGATAGCTAACTACTCACGTCTAAGCGATTGGCACCAGTGGGTCAATAAGGCTGAGTTCATAAGGATAGTACAGGGACAATGTGGGAAGATTGTAGGAACAGTAGAAGCGAGTGATGACGCTGACTACTCGACGAGTTCTACCTGGAAAATTCCAGCCAATAATTAGCAGATAACAGAAGTATCACTTTAAAGTGTCCAAATGACCCCAAAGTGCTACGAATGCCTGGCCCACTTCAACATCCTTCTCGTAACATTCAAAGCAGCCTTTCCCAAAGTGACATTTATCTGTGGAAAGTAGATCGTGATCTAGTACGGAAAGCTAAACCGAAATTGTTAAGAAGAATAGCACTGCTTTTAACTACGGAAACAAGTAATTTGGATAATTATACAAACTCATGGCAGTCTGAGCGACAAGCCAACGTAAGTCAAGATTACCTCTGTCAAATGCGTACTGGACACAGGTATCAATTACAAAGGCATTAGTGCAATAAAGATTGGAGTGAGATGTTGAAGACGTGTTCACTTCTCCTACGTGGATTTCAAAATTAGGCCTGCTTCAGTGGTTGGTTGATGGTGTGGAGATCTTTTTTTTCAAAACAAAGTTAATCGCTGTTGTAGGTTTATTAGGCAATACGTGCTACGAGGTTAAAGACTTATTTTATAAGGCACATCCGCGTCGTTGAAACATCCAAATTGGAGCAAAGAAGATATCTGAACAACTGAGTCGGTCAGACTGCGGAAAATCTAGAAAGAGCATGCCTTTCAACTTCGTGAATGTGAGGTTCAACTTGTACTGCACCATCGCCAACCACGTGTCGTCAATGACCATGGGTTTGGTGAAGTGCATTGCCAGTGCCATGTCGTGCACATGACGGTAGCTCCACACACTGTAGATGCCCAAGTGCTCTGGTGTGTGTAAAGGCCAAGGAATTTCGCGCTTCGAGAATGCCCACTGTGGATACTTGCTTGAGTACCTGAAGACAGGATTCACCGTCACGTTATAACCATGACTCAGATTGTCTCGCAGTTCCGGTGTTAAGCCTCGAGCGAAATTGGCTAACTTGTTGATATTCACTGCATAGTCGTCGTCAAGGAAGACGAAGATTGGTTTGTAGGGTCTGCAGAATCGAGCAGCCCACTGGAATGTGTGGAAGAGTTTCAGTGTCAAGTTGTAGTAGGTATCTTCGTAGTCACCAACCAGTAAGTCGTCGTGTTCGTACAATTCCTTTAAAAGAAGCCTTTTTGTTCTAAGTGGAAAACGTAAATGTGCCAACATCTTTTTTCCTGCTCTATTTGAGAGGGTTATATTGAATCCGTCTCGTTGAAACACGTTGCCTGGTGAAGTTTGTGGCAATCCGATGGAGAAGATAAGGTGGATGTTGGCACCGATGCGTGATGGATGGTATATTTTGCGCAATTGTCTCCGTTCCTCAAAATTGTAGACTGCTGATTTGTAGATAATCACCACATAAGGATGCGTCGTATCATCAGCTAACCCGCCTATGACCTGTGCGTTTGTGAGAGGAGGGCAGACATTGGAGGGAACTTGAAAAAGTCGGATGCGTGGATTGAAGATGGGAGGCTAAAAAGAAATGAATGGTAGGTCATAGGATTAGTCACTAAGGCATTCAATCCACGCACACT